CATCCAGTTTGCCAGACAAGCAATAAGTTCTTGTGATGGCAAGGTCGGTTGGTAGCAGGCGCTTGGCTTCTTGCGGCACTGGGCTGTCTTTGTCGAGGATGACACAAATGAGTGGAGAGCTGGGATCTCGACGACGCTGCGCAGCATTTCCATCCTTCAGGACTCTTTCCAAATCGTCCAATGAATGAATGTTTTGTTTGTTCTCCTTTGCTCTTTCGACATAGGCATTGAACCATCCAAATAATCGATCGCAAATGCCCTTGGCATGCTTCTCCACACCAAAATTCATGGAGACTTCCGCCCTAAAATGCTTCACCAAATCAACCAGGTTGTGGAAGAGTGCTTCGTAGGCCCTGTAATGGGGACCTGGGTCTGACACCAAGAACACTTGCTCCAGTTGGTTCTGGTTCAACCTGCGGTCTAGAATCATTCTTGTAAGCTGGTTAGTTCGGAGGCAGGTGTGGTCAAGGATGTCTGATAACACCAAGAAATACCTCGTCACAGTCTTGCTCTTGCCATCCGCAGTGAAGTGCTCTACCATGCAGGCACCCCATACACTCACTTCCATCCTGGCAGTGGCGTAGAATTGTTCGCCTGTGGCTTTGTGCGAAATTGGGAGCGTGACCAATTCCTTCCAATCACTCACCAGGGTTGTGGAATTGCATGGCGGGCTCTTTTGCAAAGACATGAGTACAGGGTCTTGGTGCTCAGTCGCCGCCTTGTGGTGGTTGTAGCTCAGCATGAGCCGCAGCATGGCCCGCAATTCTGTGGAGAGTGTGGCTTCCAGACTGAAAAGGTCAACGCGCAAGTTCTGTCGAAATCCACTTCCTAGGCAGGGCTGTTCAGATTGGAAGCAAAGAGACACACAAACCTGCAGTAGACAAACAACAAGTCCAGCAAACACTCAACCTACCCACCTCGTTTGCGCAAGTCAGCAAGGCCACATGGAAAGTCATTGTCTCTATGCTCAGCGCAAGGATGCCTTTCATGGTGACGGGAGATGTAATGCTCGAAGGCTTCGATTTCCAGCACAGGCAGGTCCTTGAATGGTTCTGCAGCAAGAAATGCGTCCCAGGCTTGCCAGTAGTTGGGCATTATCTTCTCCAACTGGTCTCGGGCGTCAGCTATCATCTCCTGGGCCTTGGGAAGAACCTTGTCGTCATAGTCTGCGCAGTACTGACAGTAATCGCTTTGGCAACGCGCTTTCTTAAAGTGGCAAAGGTGCTCCTTCATGATGCGGTGCATAGTCCTGGCAGACATGTTTTCGTAGAGGCTCGGCTCGTCTTCAAACAAGGCGGTGCGGTCTTTCGTCAAAGTTCTGGCAATGACCCACTCAGCAGTGCCTCCGGGGTTGCTACGGCATATTTTTGAAGAATCTTGGCTGTGCGCCTGCAACACTGCGCGCACTGCCTCAATGCAGGCCTTGCTGTTTACTTTAGACGGTCGCCCTCGTGTCTTGGCTTGGGCATCGTCTGGGCCTGAGGCCTTCAGCCATCGAGCAGCACCAATGGAGTAGCCTAAGTTCTCAACTGCTGACCGGTCAGGAAAAGCTTGATGAATGAGAACATCAACTTGGTCACGGATTGCGCGTATGCGATCTGAAGGGTTTGGAGGTTTGAATTCTGGAACTGCGCCAAGACCTCGCACAAGAGACGAACATGAGCCACACACCGTGGCGGGCTGCAGCTTCTGCGCTACAAGCTTGCCGAATTCGGGCCATTCATTCTCAACCACACGGATTGCCCTTGCCACTGTATCGGCTGCCTGCTCTGCAGAGGGAAACCGGCGGAGGTGGCAGGTCAATACCTTCTGGTGCCTCCGCCTTTGCCGGAATGTCTTTGAGCGGAAATGCTTCTTGGCGGGGGGCCTTGTCAGCAGGCGCTCAGCACGCTTCCGCTTTTCACCCTTTGCACTAGCACGCAGAGGCGGCAAAGAACTGGCAGGTTGCTCGGTTGTTGGAGGCATCACGGGCGCTGAAGGCAAGTTTGAGGACGATGAGCTTCCAGGAATTTCTACTACTGCTGCACCACTTGGCTGCTGGGAATACCATTGTTTCCGTTCAGACTTTGGCAGCTTGCTCCAGTAGTTCTTGTCCACATAGCTCCGAAGCCAATCGCGTTGTTCCCTTGTGAGTGCATTCTGCTCGCCGCTATGCCTGGCTTTGCTAGTGTTGGCACGGCCTGGTACGGCCGACACTGCTGTTCTTGTCAGGGAGTCGCCTTCGGGGCCCTGCAGCAAAGAGAGGAAAAAGCGATGAAGAGCTGCCTTGTCTTCTTTGGTGCGGCCCATGCAGAAACTACAGTAATGTGAGGATGTGTCTTTGTACGGGACCTGGGATTACAAGAAGGTTATCGTTAGGTTATCGTTTGGATTATCGTTCGGGAAGCTGACATGTTTGGGAAAATCTTGAGACAAGTTCCTTTCAGCAGGATGGACATACATTTACTAGAGATGCACTTCCGACGCGCACATTCCTTTGTTTAGCTTTCCTGAACAAAAACGGACTTTTGTAACTAAATTCGCCTAGTGCAGCATTCTTCAAAGCAAACGGCAAGGAAGCAATGTTTTCCGTCCCGCAGTCGCTTCGGCTGGGCTAGAGTTGGAGTATCTGGATCGCATTGGTCGATCTTGCGTTTGCACGGCGTCTGTGTGGCCTCTGCGTGGTCATCTGCTCCACCACTTTTCAAGGACGTGTCTAGCGATGGATCTGGCAAACACTCTCCCCGAGAATGACTAGGCTTCTCCTGAGAAAGCAAAGCCGTTAGACCGTCCCTTCCCTTGCTCTCAAACATCAAAGAGCCCCTAAAACTTCCCAAAAGACATGCTGAGAACAAGCCTGGTGGCCTCAGGACACATCACTTCGCCAAAGTCTAGCTCCTCAGAAAAGCCAAAGTGCAACCCTCCTAGATGCGATTGCCCACTTGCCCAACATAAAAAAATACTTTCAGAGTTGACGAGGCACTGGGGCAGCAGGAGTTTCCATGAGCACTGCCTCAACCTCACGAGAACCGTCCAGAAGCCCAGCCTCACCATTGGGCACTGCTTCTTTCTCAGCACCTTCACCATTCACAGACATCACCTGCAAGTACGGGCAGCCCATGCCGAGGCCATGTTGACGCTGTCGGATCACTATCTCAAAACATGATGTCAAAATCCTACCAGACAGCCCGCTTTTGTTCATCCCTGCACCTGCCCATCATCCATTGTGGTTTTTTCCGCCAGTGTCTTTGCAAACTTGCTAAGGCATGTGGTAAAAGTCCACGAAGATCCAGTCCTCAGACAGGATTTGTTGAAAGTGGACCTGGAGGACTGGGCTATGTCACTGTTCTAAAAGCACAAAACTAAACATCCAATGGAGCACCCCCTTGAGATAGCCTGCACTTCAGGCTGAGAATCAACACTGCTGCATGATGAGATGCTCGAACATGACCGCTTGCAGTGATGGTTTCATTAGCCTTGGTGCGAGTCGCACTGCTACACAAACATCCTCACAACCTTGATAAAAACATGAAGCTCGTCTACAAAAAGGGAAAACACGCCAGAAGTTCTATGCAAACCAAAGTGGCACAGTGGGACACTAGCACACCCCATCGACTGTTCCACTGAGGAGGATTCATCTGAGCTACGCAGTGCCTGACTTGGCACAGCTTGGGTGGCTGCTGCTCCATTGCCACCGCCATTGTCGAGGTGAAATGATGGCACCAAACAACTCTCGACCGACAACAGCAGCAGCAAAGCGGCAAGTATAACCCCTGATGACCCTCTTCAAACCCACAGATTCAATGCCCATCAGCACAATGTCAAAAAGAACAAGCGGTATCTCAATGAGACATATAAATGCAAAACATTCCATGAAGTTAAACATCTTTGTACTTGTATATCTTGACTATATCGTTTTTGGTGGGGACCATATCGTTTTCCATATCAAACAAAGCCTTCAACATAGTTCAGGGTCACCCCCTGACTAAATAAATAAGCCAATAATTTGGTCGGTCGCTCATATAAGGGAAAGGAACAGGAGAAGGAAAACAACAACAACACTAGCAACAACAACAACAACAACAGCAACAGCAACAGCAACAGCAACAGGCTGGGGACGCATCTCCCTGTCACAGGTGTGGCCTGGAGCCTTGTGATAGCTCCTTAGAGGTTAAGGGATGTCCATTGGGGGGCCCTGGTATGTCCTGTGTTGTTTGTCTCAGGGTGCAGTCTTCTTCTTTGACGACACATACATTGTTCATGTTTTCTGAGCGTAGATGATCCCATCTCCATCAGTCAATTCAGGGCCGATTGCTTGGCAGGATTAGCAGGCAATCGACCCCAACCTAGAAAAGACCAGAAACTGATCAGAAACTGGCTGTGGGTGTGGAAGGTTTGGATATCTAAGAACATCCGGACTTCACCCATCGACCCATCAACCATCCATATCCATCACTGAGGACACAACCACCACTCATCACTCGCTTCAACCGATCGGTCGGCACGCACGCTTGCGCCTCGGGACCGTCGAAACCGGCACTCCTCAGGCGCCGTGCGACCCCCCGTGTCCACCGCGTTGTGTGTGGCGCGGCGCGGCGCATCGGGCGCCTCTGCTTCGAAGAGACCGCCGGAAGAGGCTTGTCGGCCCACGACCTGCGAAGGGAGAGCGATGCAGGTGGCCCCGAGCAGCGAAGAGGAGTGCGGGTATATCGTGAAAGGAAACACAGCGGAAAGGTGTGGCATTTCCCTAGGGCTCCTGGCCTACCTCCGTTTCGAAGGTGGCTGGGGTGGGTGGATTTGGGGGGTCTAACCACCGAACCAGAGGATATGGGCAAGGAGCCCTAGGGCCCTATAGGGTCTTTAAAACTAATCAAACACATCCGCCCCACAGCCCACGGCGGAAGATGAGACCCCGAACATGGCGTATGAAAATGACCTTCCATAGCTCCAGACATCCAATTCCGAAAAGCCGGCTTCAATTGAACTCAGAACCAACCTCTGCGCCTGCGCCCCTTTTTGCTCCCGGAGCGCCCTGGAGCTCCGTGCGCTTTCTGCAACGATCAGAAGATGCTCCTCAGCGCATGAGGCGTTTCAAGCGTCTGAAAGGAGTAGGCTGGGCTCATATACCCGGATGGTCTCCTGGCCCCATCTCCTCAGATGACCGGTGGTATTCGAACCCCCTGGCATCCACCCACCCCAACCACCTAACCGAAACGGTCTCAGGAGGTAAGCCAGGAGCCCATTCGGGTATAAACCCTTTTTGTTTGACTCCTACACATTGGGAACACAAAGCCAGGTGTTGCCCATATCTCCTTAGCGGATTCCAATTCAGATGCCATGCCACAGCCAACAGCGGGAACAATTTGGGTTTCATTGGTTTCATCATGTTTCATCGCTTCATGTAGCTGAGTTGAGGATGGCGGTTTTGGTCGCTTGTGCTGCTTTCACGTGAAAGCAGGCTCGAACCAAGCTTGTCAGCCAAACACAGCACAAATGACCAAGCTTGCGGCTATTGATTTCGCTCTCTGTCCTGCGTGTGACATGTGTATTGTAAGAAGATCCCCCACTTGGGGCTCTGGCTTCTGCCTGCATGTCTTGGCACAGCCCGTAAACCCCTTCTGGAATGCCTTTCAGTGACCTGTTGCGGCCCTTTCCAGTGACCTATTTTTGTCACTTTGAAGAATCAGGAGTTAGATGTCAACATAGGATGAATCATCCTCTAAATCCCCCCAAGGTCAGGAACCAGAAGATAATTTTGAAAGGTGGTTAGTATTGAAAGAACAAGTCAAACCAAACTGAAAGGTGGGGTTTCTTAATCCTATGTCTACATTACCCACACACTCCATCAGGCTATACTAGCTAGCATATGTTGACCTGTTGAAAAGGGATCAACATTCCCTACATGGAGTGTCTGGTAGATAGAGATATATCTTTTGATGTTTCAGAGAGACCGTGAAGCTTCATTCTTCCTTGAGCCAAACGCATGACGAACTAAAGGGATAGGAACACAAGTTACTTTATTCTACGAGCATGTACACTTATAGAATCCATTTGACCGCGATGACGGTCAAGAAACCAAAACCACATCACCTGGAGGTTCCAACCGCTGCATGTCTTCATCACACATCATCACCGAGCGGTCGAACGGTGTCTCCAAGTCTCCGGATGGTGAAGTCAGGCTCCTCCAAGAATTCGGCCTCGCCTTCGGTACCCACCATGGTCACCACATCTGGGAGCATGGCCACGAGCGTCGTCTCTAGAAGCCTTAGAGCTGTTCGACGGCCTGTAACCGGGCCGGCCGGTCTGGTTGGGAGCCGGTCTCTACCCGAAAAGCACCCGGAGGAGACGAAAGAAGACCCTGCAAAAGCACTGGGAGGACTTGAAGTGGCTCAGTTGAGGATCTTTCTTGAACAAACTTGGGGGCCACAAACCCAGCGCAATGTCTCAAGGAAACGATTCGTTGACGGAACATGATCGCGTTGCCAATGAGTCCAATTTGGTACTAGTTAAATTGCTGGTGCTGTCCAAACAAGGAACCGGCAATTTAACCAAAGAGGATTGTCACCTCTTAGGCTAGAATCCTCTGCGTGTTTGGTATTTATCACCTCTAGGACTCTGCTCCATCCTAGAGGTGGTTTCTTCCGTGTGGAACCATGTGTGATCCCTGGAACCCTTCCTTTACGAAGGCGAAGCAAATATCCTTGGAGCTGGAGTTGGAACCAATTAGCCGACCCTCCTGAAATCCACCGAACGGTCGCCCGAATCGATTAATTGGTCTTAGTGCGGCCGCCCGAGCGAACGTGCGAGGCGGTCCGACGTGCACGTGCTCGACCGACTGTCCAGGCTCCGCGAAGCGAAGGAGACCGTGGTGAAAGCTGCGAGACCGTTTTCATTCACGATATGACCCTTGAGTGATCCGAAAATGACAATGACATCTCACCTTAAGCTCATGACCCAAGGCGTATGATGTTGTTTTTTACATGTCATCCATTATACCCAATACAGATTGGAAGTCATGAAACAAAAGTCATGACCCAAACACTCCCATGGGACAGAAATCTAAACAAACACCTACTGTTTGGACCCTGAAATCCACCAACGACACCTCGAAATCGGTCCATGTTAAGTCCCTAAGGGTCCAGGACATGTCCAGGACCATCCGAATCGGATGTCCTGCCAGACCCCCCGGCAACAACCATTCTAAGCACGAACTCACCTCCGAACTCGACCATCCGAAACGGAGGTACCTGGAGGTAACATGGGCCCCATCCATGGTCCTTTCCCTACACCTCCAGTCGTACCTCCTCAGAAGGTATGACTGGACCCTCCTGGCACCCACCCCAAACCCCTTCTCACCCAGACGCGACCCTGGACCCTCATATGGGGTGGGACCCGAATCCTCGAGGTCTGGACCCGAACCAATCCCTATCCCATACACTCCATGTATGACATATATGCCTACATTGACCCCTCAAACCACCCCAATACCATACATGGAGGCGTCTGGGTATGGTTTGGTTCGGGACCAGTCGGGCCTCGTTCACGGAGCGCCTCATGGTGAGACGTACCGTCTTTCGGACGGACCTCTCGGCCGGACGGTCGGACGGTCGGACGTCGGATGTCGGTCCGTGTAGCGCGTGGCTTTTCCGCAGTGTGAGTGGGTGGACAAGACTAGAGGTCTTCAAACGAGATCTTATAGACCAGGCACATAGATTGGCAACATCATTATGGAATAGATTGGCAACATCGTGTATATCCGAGAACTTCTACATTCCAGAGTAAAGTACTTATAAGTGATCTTAAGTTCAAAAGTCATTGAACTATTAGCAAGTCATGTCCAGCAATCTCAGCGCCCCCCGTCTGTTAAATCCCAACTTCGATCCCAGTCGCAAGGTCGTCCCATCGAAGTAGCGGATGGCCTTCGTCCGCATCTCAGGCAGCATGGTCAACAGTTGACGATGCACAGCACCCAACGAGTCAAAGGGCCGCAATCTCAACTCCTAGGAGTCGGCACGAGTCGAGTCAGCACGAGTCGACTCGGCGGCGCGAGTCGAGTCACCACGGGAGGAGCTTCCGAGTCCAGAGGAGCCGAGCCAAACCGAACATCAGGCACAACAGCACCAAGCACCCTCCCGGACAGGTCACCAATGGTTCGACCTCTTTGAGACCTGGCCCAACCAAAGACTCCCATTTCGGAGACCTCTATCGAGTCGGATCGAAAATGGCATGGATCAGAGGATGGATCAGCATGGATGGCACCGTCTTCTCGGGACCGGCGTGAAGCCGAACACGCATCTCATCGGCTGTCGACCCCAACGAAGCGATGATCCACTTCATGGTGGCCACATCGTCTAGACGGCTGTCGAAGGAGAAGTGGAGACGATAAAGACATATAAAAACCCACTTCATAGTTGATGGTTGTTCCTTCTTGTTGGTTCCGTCTTGCTGACTGGTACAGGTAACTATAATAGCAACCCTTGCAGCTTACTCATAGCTCGATTAGAACAAACAATAAAACATCTTACATACTACCTAAAATCCAACTGGCAAAATAGAGGCGCCTTTTCCGTCTGGCAGATTTTGCCTGAGAAAGTCACAAAGGCGTTTCTGTTTTGTTGCCTTTTGTTCGGGACAGATTTTGCTCTGGCCTGTGACAGCCTGCTGATTCCCCTTGGAAACGATTCATAGCCCAAAACAGGTTTTGTTCCCTTTCCATGGTGGTTTCAGGTGCACATCCGCGTTGCCCAAACTGCTTGGCATATCAAAGGGCACCAGTTTACTCCCCATCTCTCCCCCTTCCCTCCCTCCGATGGACCACCGCCCTACGACTCCCCACGCCGCCGCGGCGACCGGTCGCGCCGGGCGTCGATCTCGCGCCCGGAGAGCTCGACGAAGCGGATGAGGCGCTCGACGGAGCGCTTCGTGACGCTTTGCTCGAAGAGCTCCTCGGACGGGACCGTGGTGGCACGGTGGGGGTGGGGGGGGGAGTGAACTCCATGGTGTTCTGGGCTTTTTGGGTCGTGAAGAGAATGGAAGAGGTGATGGAACCATTGGCTAGGATTCCTGGCCCACCATTGACTCAAGAAGCCGAAACCGAACGATATAGTTTTTGACCAAAGGGACTACAAAACCACATCGTCTTGGAAGGGTTCATATGACAAAAAAGGGTATAGCAAACCCAGACACGACTAATGGGACTGCCATATATGCCGATCAATTGGGGTGGTTTTGGGGGTCAATTGATTGGCATATATGGCAGTCCCATGTGTCGTGTCTGGGAAATAGTTCGTTCCATGGAGTTTGAGGACATATACACTGACCCAGAAAAAGGTTACAGCGGAGGATGTGAACAGAAAACATAAGCCATAGGTCATTGCATAGGAGAGGTTTATTCGGTTGATGTCTTTAGATGCTGCTGTTCGTTTTCTGACTCAAGTTCACTCGCGTTTTCACACAATGTTTGCTTTCAAACATGGAACTTCCTAACATTTCAACATCAAAAAAACACAGCAACAACAACAACGCGCACCCTGGCAGCCAGGGCTCTCGCCAGTACGTCACGTTCTCCTCGCGGAGCGCACGACCCACGAGCTCCTTGGCAAGGGACGGACGGATGAGAAAAAACAGACTATGCTACTGGAGGCCATGGCTATTTGGTTGGAGGCACCATGACTATCCCATGGGTATCATTAAATATACCCTATAGCGGTTGAAGGACCCGAACGGTCGACTATCCCAGTTGGGTACCCCCACTGACAGTCACTGGCTACCTCTCTGTGTTCTGTGTTGCCGGGATCTGCTCGAGAAAGACATACCATGATACTAGGTTGGAGGCCATCGCTTTTTTGGGTCGGAGGCCAAGAAGCTATAGGTGGGAGGCACCCTGACCCGACGTGTCACCCGATCTCCTTGAGGTCGGCCTTGGAGGCCTTTTGTTTGGTTTGGGCCGAACGGTGTGTTGAGGTGGAGGTGCGGAGGGCGGTGGTCATCTTCAGTTCATGGCTGGAAGAAGCTGCTCGTTCATGTGGGTTTCAACGGACAAAAGGAGCTGCGTCACTCGGGGTGCAGGGCCCGAGCACCGCGTTCTCTGCGTTTTCGTTTTCGGTTCTTTTCGTGAGTGGGCCAGGACAAAGAGCACTGCGAGTCCGAGGCTCATGGATTTGATGATCATCCAGTTGCGAAACGAAGGAGGCAAAGTCCCACTCAGATTCCAATTCAATCCTCTCTGAGGTGACCACCCCCTCGCTGGGCGATTCCACCATGGCGAGGGCGCGCCGCGAGACTGGTGAGACAGGGCAAGGATCGATCGATCTCGAACGACCTGTGACGTGATCGATCTGTTTTGTGTCCTTGGAAGTGAAGCCAACGGATAGGATAGTTCAACCATAGGCACCACCAAGTAAAGGAAATCCCTCCACTCGGGTCACCCAGTCGGAGTATGTTAATGCTAAATCAACTGCGGCGCTGTATACTTTTTGGGAGCGAGCTTTCGGGAGGGCATTTTTGTCACGCATCGAGATACATGGACGAAGGAAAATAATGTAAAATAGGGAGACATGACCCAGTAGACCCCCTGGAAAAAAAGGAAAACACCCAGCCAGGAGATCTCCCAGGCAGATTTACAGACTCAGTACCCCTCAAAAGTCAACGGTCTGCGCTCAGGTCAGACACCCTCGGTTGGGGTTTAGGGTTTACGCTCAGGTCTGCGGGTGTAGATTCTGTTGAGACGGTGTTCATGTCCGCTTGAGCAGGCATGAGCAGGACTCGAGCCCTCAGTGGACTCCCGGCGTTGGACTGGGAGAGTGACAGTGGTGGTAGAAGACCAATCCAGAAAAGCCAATGACCTGGATATACCTGGCTCATTGGGGGATTGCATTCCCTAGGCCCTAGGGATTCACATCAACCATACCTTCTCAGGTTTTTTCTGCGACTGGAGCCTCTTCCAAAGTGAATCCATATACGTACCAGGGCCCCCTGTCATGGGGTGTCATGGGGTGTCTCTTGATCGCCTTTAGATGTTAAGGGGTGTCCATTGCGTTAACCACCCCTTGGGAGGCCCAAGTACACTCTTGTCTATAAAGACAAACTGTTAAATTTTGGTGGGGTGTCACCAATCAACATACATTAATCCCAGATGCTCCATGTATGCATATATGCCTACATTGAGGTAGTTTGGGGGTTCAATGTAGGCATATATATTCCATATACATGGAGTGTATGGGAATTGTAAGGCCGCGTTTTCAGGTTACCGGGCAGCAGCCCCAGGCCTCGCTGTTGTGCCGATCACATGTTGTGTCCCTTTGCTTGGCTTGAGTGCTCGGCTTTTCGCATCAAGACATGGGCACTGAAAGAACCTCCCAGCAGCATGGGCTCCACATTATATAATTTCAACATAAAATGATCACCTTCTATGGATCTTCCATCCCCTGCGAAGGGCCTCCCTTCGCGTGCGCACTGCAAGTGCACCAAATCCCTTGGCCCCCGCCGCATCCGCCGATCCGCCTCTGGGCCGGCTAAGAGCGCCAGAAGCTGCATCTGGCGTCTTCACTCGTGCGACAGCGCGCGACGTGGGAGAAAAAAAGGGGCCCCAAACGGAGCTGGACTCTGAGCTTAGCCCACGGGGCATACGAACAACGGGTGGACCCTGACCCATATCGACCCACTGGGGCCACCGGCTAAGCTTCCCACAGTGAGCTAGCCATGAAGTGAAGGTCTTTTGGGGCAAAAAAGGACAACCTGGTCTTTCTGCTAGCCTTTCAACGTCTTTCAACCACCATCTGTAGCTGTTTGAGCTCCATCCGACCATCATCGACCTGCTCATCCTACGGCCTTGTTCCTGCACAGTGTTTTTTCACCGAGCAGGTCCCAGGTGGACACGGATGGAGTGCATCATCTTGGTGTCGTAGAGACGCATTTGGTGTTTTGTTTGGTTCTCGGCAATTCGAAGACTTTGAGGTAGAAATCCGATGCAAGTGTGGCGGAAGAATTGATTGGATGCCTTTGCTTTCAAAGGGATCTGCCAGCACATACTTGGGTGCTTCATCTGCGTAACTCGCAGCAACTTCTGCATGAGGGTGGCCGACCACCGCATCATCTCAAGAAGTGAGTAGGGTACATCACATCTGCGCAGTAGATGTTCCGCTGGTTCAGTTGCAGGCCCGTAAGTGCAAACACCGTCTGAGTACCCGGACGATGAACTCTGAGTACAGCTTTCTGGGACGGAGTCACGTCAGTATGAGTACGGCTTTTGTCGGAGCTCTTTCTAAGCCGGTGACCCATTGCGATCTTGCACCTTCTACCCATTGCGATCGCCGTTGAGAGGTAGAATGCACCCCAAATCCCAACGGCCGGCTCTTCAAAGAGATCAAACTTGAGGGTTCTCAGGTTGAGGAGATCGAACGGGATCTCAGTCTGAGCACTGAAGAACCAGTGGAGTAAACATCTGATCCCTATAGTCGATCATCAAGCTGTCCAAGCTGAATTGGTCAAAAACACCCGAACAAACATAATAACATCCCATAACTATCCCAGGACCTGTCAGGTTTTAGAAGCCTAAACACACTGAACTTGAGTCTACCAGGGATCTTGGAGGCTCAAAAACGGAAGAGTCTGGAGGAGTTTTGCTGTCCCTCGTCCTCCGCTTCGCGGCGCCTGGTCGCTCCCCAAACGTGCGCGAATGGGACTGAGGTGCAGCCCCAAGCGACTGGTGGGCGGAAGCTCCTGGAGAACATGGACGTGAACGACCACGCAGAGCGGATCCAGCGCCGACGTGAACAAACGGCCGCCCCCAGACCTCATGGACGCGAAGCGTCTAGGCCCGAATCCTCGGGTGATCAGCGGTTGAAGAACCCGAACGTTCGACTATCCTAGTTCGGTACCCCTGGTTTTCCGGGTCCGTTCGTTCAGGTCACTGGATACCTCGGGAGTCAGGGGTCAGGGTCGGTTGCTCACCGCCCTCTCGGCTGGGGCCCGACACCCAGTGCCACATGTGATTGGAGACACCTGTGAATGGTTCAGTGTTTCAGCGAAATGACTTCAGGCCTGAAACACCTGGAACATGGAACCGAACATCTTCCAAGCAACGATCAAGTCAACCATGATTTCCCAATCTTTCTCAACATCGGAACTCGTCACCAGAGTACTCCACACTCATTCTCCTTTCAAGGCCACTCTACATGTGTCGAAGTCTCCCCTCCTGCGGTGTAGGCCATGGCAACCATGGCCACTCCACAAAGACCTCCCGGTCACTGAAAACACCGCAAACGCGGCGTCCTTTTTTCAGCTCGGCGAACGGTCCGCGATTTCCCGTGCCGGAGATCCCTGTGGAATTCTCTGTGTGGCCCAGGGCCAGTGGGTGATTGTCATCTAGAGTTCCTGTGAGATGGTTCCTGATTACTTTCGGTGGCGCGGAAATCACGGAAATCACGTGAGCCACTGGCAAAGATTATTTGCAAAATCCAAGGGACAGGTGTATATGATTGATTTTGCATGAATGGTGAGTGTGTGCTTGTTCCAGTGTCTTTTCGTTTGTGTTTGTCGTGTAAATTTGATGAGTGTATGGTCATTTCGCCGGAAGCTGCATGTGGAGATTCCATGTCGTCCCTCTTGATTTACCCTAGGGATCCAAGTACAGTACCGAACCTCAGGTTAGGTACGACTGGACCCTCCTGGCACCGACAGTCACAGTGCCGAACACATCACCTAACCTGAGAAGGTACGACTGGATCCCCTCCGGGACAGTTGTGTAGTAGGAAGTCGTCCTGTGAGACGGGTGTATCCTCGATGGATCCATGGATGGGGTGTATCGGATAGCTGTGACACTGTGGGCTTGGAACTTTGAGCTTTCACTGGATGTTGGACCTGCCTGCGATCAATTAGTACACCTGGCACTTCCTACCAGGTAGGAGACCTGTAAGATCGTAGGGTATAGGCTAGTCTATTGGACACCCAGACAGGATGATCCTGGCACTGGAAATTGAATATGGAACCTGAAAACCACGTCAGGTTGTAGAGGGAAATCGTCTTCCAGTCGTTTCCATCTGGTTCTCGGAACCTGGGTTGCCCAAAAACACGTCCACGCCAGCTACTCCACCACCTTCTCATCCCTCGCCATCCCAGGCCATCCCATCCCTTTCCCCACCCTGCCTCTGCCGAAACGCGATGAAGGATCGGCAAGGCCACCTGAAGGATGCAGTTCTCGGCAGTCAAGCACCCACCACCCACAACCACCAAGCTGATTTGGGTATATCCCAAGCTCCCAGGGCCCAAACGGATGATGCCTGGCTGGAAGGCCAACATCCATCTCCACCACACCCGATTCGAATCAGGGGAGTCTATAGAGCCTTGAACCCCCCCGGTGATTTCCTAACAAAATAAATTGAACCCCCGGTGAGGTCATAACCCCCTTGATTTCTGGGCAGTTCCTTGAACCCCAACCCCACCCCATCCTCTATCCCAAACCCCACTGCGCTCGTCTTTTCACCCCCACCGCCACGTGCTCCGGCCTGCCGCGTGCTGCGCTTCTCGTTGCCGCGGCGGGCGCCGAACGACCGCCGCTCCGAGCGGCGCTCGCCCTGCGTGGCGGCCACGGTCCGGGTGGGGTCCCAAAGAGACACCGAGGGAAGACGTCACATGGTGCTTCTACTATAGTGCTTAGAAGAAGCCCAAGTTCAGGCAACACCACTTGAAGAGTGAGTCGAGAATATGTTTTGCAAGAATTTGACAATCTCATATATATATATATACCGATGTCACTGGCTAATGATAGACTTGTCAGTCACCATATATAGTATATATCTAACTCACGGACACTCTTTCCCGCTCCGGGCCTCCAAGTATATAGCTCCGCTTTCGAAGGTGTTTGAGATGGGTTTGGAGAGTCATATAGAGTCTGTATGTCGACAAGTACCTTCTTAGAAGCTACTTGAAGCCCCAGGGCCCTGGGGATTGGTCCATCCTCTCGCTCCATCGGCTCGACCGCGATCGATCGGATTCCGCCTGCAGGTCCAAGGTCACCGTGGCATCCCCTCGGGGCCGGTGTCCAAGGTGCTTGAAGAGGTACATGGCATGCCCTGCTAGGCCACCCGAGTCAGCCCATTCCTTTTTCTTTGATTTTGATTTAACCGGACTACATGGCTTAATATGTTTGTCTTACTTTTCAGGCGGAAATGAAGCACCCAAAAACCCAGCGGGTTTGAGGCCCAAACCATTCCAGACCTGAAACAGTGACCGCCCCTAGCACCGGCACTGCCTGGGTGCCCTGGAGTAGACCTGTAAGATCGTAGGGTAGAGTAGTCGAACGCCACACCCAGACAGG